CGCCTAGGGTTCGCCTAGCTCCGCCCACACCGCCTAACTACGAGTTCGAGTCTCTATCCGTGGCTGCCATGGCGTGCAATTTACGTATGTTTCTGATTTTGCATTTGTTTGTTTAAATGGAAAAACGATTATCACAGTGGAGATTTCAATTGCTGAACAACATTTGATAGTATAGCTGAACGGCTATACGCTTTAAATATACAATTTTGTCATATTATTTTACGGTTTAGAGCTAAAATACCAGTTCAGCTAATTGGGCTAGAGTTATTTCTTCAATTATTTTATTTATACAAGTGATGTTGGGGAATGAGAATTTAAATTCTTTCCGATACCTCACATTCTAATGATTTCCAGCTATTAGCCTATTGCGCGAGAATAAAAAATGAATTTTATTTATGAGAAAAAATGGCCTAGGTCATTTACCCTTGTGGAATTGCATCTGGGATTTGGTCTTCTGCATCACTATAAAACTGAAATCTTTTACATCAACTGTTCTTATGACCATTTTCAGTGCCAGTCCTGATCACTAATAAAAATAAATCGTAAAATAATCGTAAAAAAGGTGAACAATGGCATTATATATAACCGATTATATATATATATATATATATCTTGCATTACTATAGGAGGGAGATGAGATTTATATATCCACTATACAATTGTTCACCTTTTTTTAGCTGACATACAATTGATTTTCCTATGCATGTGTATATATATATATATATATATATATATATATATATATATATGACACGCATATTCTCCTACAGAGTAAAACTTCCAGGATTCTTTGTCTCCAATGCTGTCCTTCCTCCAAGTGATCTGTGCGTACATGGAAAATCATTAAGTAATTAATTAAGGGCATTGCATTTGAACTTGAATATATATACATTTGAGTTAATAATTACCTCTTTCTTGTTTCCCGATTTTGGTGCAATGAAGAGGTTGGCTTCACTCTTAACACTAGGGTTCATGCTTCCCCCAATGGCATACTGCGACCATTCTCTGTAAAGATTATTCACGACATGTGCATATCCATAGCGAATCCTGCATGCATGCAATAGTAAGTAATATAATACTCACTCTCTGTTGAGAATACAAAGGTGAAAATGTCCCACACTTATATTACCTACACACTTTGCTAATGTTAATAAATAGAGGAGTTGAAAGTAAAGGTAGCCAGCGATCTCAATTAACATATGGATATAGCTAGCCTAGGGGCCTTTACCTTGGCATTCTTTGGTTGCAGTTGGGTCCAAAATGGTTGTACACAACGGTCACCCTCATGTTCTTGTCCCGAAAGTAGCCATCATCATGGCCGAGAAGCATAACCTTGTCCTGGTCTCTGAACCAATTGTTGGAGATGGTGATATGGGTAGATCCGCGAGTAACATCGAGAAGACCGTCCTGGCACTCGTAGAGTGTATTGTGGTCTATCCAAACCTTTGATGCTGTTACCAACCTTATTGCATCTCCATCAACCTGCCCTAATGGTATTATCTTTCCTTCTGGACCCATAACTGAGCTTGGTGGTTGGGGTCGGCAATGATGGATTCGAAGGCCATGGATGATTATATTGCTTGCCTGATAACGTTTAAAATAATAATATAATTAGTTTACATGCATGAAAATGTACACAAGATATCTTTACTATATTCAATCTCCAAAAAATCATAGCAAGACTGTCATGTGGTGTTACAAATTTACTTATAATGCATGTATTATTATCAATAAAAACTATTCCCTAGCTAGTTCCATGAGATATATGTATATATATAATACGTGTCGTTCACCCATATTATAACAGTAGATAATATATAGCACGTGGCGGTTTGACCATACAACTCAAAACTGTCCCAACTATCCCTCACTTAGAAAAAGGAAATCAAGGGTTTAGGTTATCAAACTACCCCATACATGCTAATTAGATTCTTTTTTGGTTACAATATAGGCCGGTTAGATTTTCAGCCTTAAATAAGAACAGAAGATTACTTTTTCAATAAACTCCGAGTGTCAGATTGAAATTTGAATATACTTAGGAATATATTATAAGTATATAAATTTGGTACTTACTACATTATCTTAAATATACTTATGAATGTCAACGGCATCTAGTCCAATGAAAAAGAGTTTTGACTTACATACTAGTGGTCTTGGGTTTGAACACTAACTAGCCAATTAAATACGTATGTGTGCGTATATAAATGTAATTAATATACGTACCTGAAAGACCAGCAAGCATGCATTACCAGCAATGTGAACATTAGCACCTCTTCCATCAATGGCAGTGAAGCTACTAATGAGAAGTGGTTTGTCAAGCCTAATGTGCATCTCCCTCTGGAAGGTGATCCACTTTTTCCCTTTTATCATGGTAACCCCATATCTCAAAGTTCCCGGTTTGGGGTCCAACGCATTGTCACTTGGGTTCGTGACTCGATAGTATATGACATCTCTTCCTATGTTGTTGCTCATCTTCCCAGAAAATCCCACCGAGCATAATGCAAGTTCCTGCCGGTTACTTCTCCAATCCGAGTTCCATCTCCAGCAACCATCGATCACGTTCAATTTCAAGCCATCAACTTTTGTTTTCTTAGCGAAACTCGGGTTTGGAGCGAAGCCGGCAATGGCAATCAAAAGGCACAAAACAAAGCGCCAGACATTGGCATTGCCATTGGGGCATCCATGACAAGCCATTATATATTATATGTACTTTCCAACTCGCTCATGCACAGAAATAGCTACAGCAAGGTTTTTCTCTTCAACTCTTTACAGATATGAAAGAACGAGAATGGAGAGACATATTTATAGCCGGATTTAATATTCGTACTGCTCCTAAGTTTGTTTAGAACGTTGTTAGGGATCAGTCGTAATGGTTAGCTAGCTATCACGAAATCGCTATGGACGGACAGAAGGGAAAATATGAAGGTTCTGCAGTTTCGCTTCTCCTCCACCTCAAGTTTAGCTCGTTCGCTATCTTTGTGCTTTTTTTGGTTGGCTAGCTTTGTTTAACTGTCTTTAGTGGTGGAGCAATGGAGTCCAATAACCGAGTGCTTCATTTAAGTGTATTTTATATTCATATAGTTGATATTGAAGGTAAGTGATCTCGAAGACCATACATCTTCGTGCCGTTTTTCTTTTTACAAACGAGCGAAATTGAAATAGAACACAGTATATAATTGTGAGGTGACCGTTGTTGCAACTTATCATTATTAAAATAAAAAAGGTTGTGTTATGACAAATTTTATATGTCATTCATTAATCCATCCAAATTATAACACATAACAAGCGACATGTCAAACATGTAACAAGTGACATGGAAAATATGTTAGCGTGGTATGACGGTTGCATAGAGAAATTAATGTTACAATTACTTGAAAAACCCTTTCAACAAAAAAGAAAAAAAAAAACTTGAAAACCCCCAATAAACCCTCTCTCTGTCCGACTCTCTGTGAGAAGTCAGAAAAAGTTCCCCCATTTGGGCTCACCTACATTTTGTGCACGTTTCTCGTACTGCTGTTTTCCCGCCAATTTTGAAGCCTCGTCGACGGCTTTGCTGAGAGCAGCTCTGGGCTCCATGGACTTGGAACCAGAATTTCCAAAAACCACAAACACAACCATCTCTCTCTGTCTCTCACAGCTTCTGCAATTTGTGAGGTTTATGGCTTTATTTCCACATTTCCACAATGACTTGCATGTTTGCTGAGAAATTGAATATAGATTTTGTTTGGGTGGCTTATTTTTGAACTTTTCTCATCAAAATATAGTAAAACTTACTCATCAAAATTTCCATGCAAGATTTAAAAAAACAAGAAAAAGAGAAGAAGAGTACAGATGAAAAACTCAAAATCAAAATCAGAAAAAGCACTCTTCTTCTCACTCACAAAAATCCCATCAAGAAACTTCCTAATATCCTTGTTCTTCACATGGCACTTCTGGTTTATGAGAGCAGCAGACCTCAACACCAACGCAGACCCGCCTAGACCTGCTCAGGCCGCCTAGATCCGCCCAGACCGCCTAGCGGCCGCCTAGCTCCGCCCAGACCGCCTAGGGGCCGCCTAGATCCTCCCATACCGCCTAGGGGCCGCCTAGCTCCGCCCAAACCGCCTAAGGGCTGCCTAGATCCGCCCAGACCTCCTAGGGGCCGCCTAGCTCCGCCCAGACCGCCCAGACCGCCTAACTACGAGTTCGAGTTTCTATCCGTGGCTGCCATGGCGTGCAATTTACGTATGTTTCTGATTTTGCAATTATTTTTGTTTGTTTAAATGGAAAAACGATTATCACAGAGTTTCTTCTAAGGATTTTAAGATTTTATAGCATCAGAGTTGTCGTCACAGCGGAGATTTCAATTGCTGAACGACATTTGATAGTATAGCCGAGCGGCTATACGCTTTAAATGTACAATTTTGTCATATTATTTTACGGTTTAGAGCTAAAATACCAGTTCAGCTAATTGGGCTAGAGTTATTTCTTCAATTATTTTATTTATACAAGTGATGTTGGGGAATGAGAATTTAAATTATTTCCGATACCTACCATTCTAATTATTTCCGGCTATTAGCCCATTGCGCAAGAATAAAAAATGAATTTTATTTATGAGAAAAAATGGCCTAGGTCATTTACCCTTGTGGAATTGCATCTGGGATTTGGTCTTCTGCATCATTATAAAACTGAAATCTTTTACATCAACTGTTCTTATGACCATTTTCTTTCACTAATAACAGGATTCATCACTGAAGTATCATTATGTATTTAATCACCTGCAGAACCCTTGGTTGCTTGTGAAAATAGGGCAAGAAAATAAGATTGCTATGATGCACAAAAAGCATATCCTGGTGGTAAAGTGATAACAGAGGCCAGGGTTAAATACATTTATGAATTAGCGGCCCGGCCTCCCAAGAAAGAGAAAACCTTTAA